GCCCGCTGCCGCCGAGACCCGCGCCCTGCGCGCCGCCGCCACGCTGCTCCCAGGGACCGCGCAAGAGCCGGCCGCCGACGGCGCGCCGGAGGGGCCAGAGCCGGCGCGCAAACGCCGGGCTGCAGTACCGCATTCCGGCCACAAGGCGACAGCAGCGGAGGCGGTGGCGCTGCAGTTCCGCACTTCGACCACGAGGCGGCAGCAGCAGCGAGCGGGGGGGCGGGGGGCGCGTGCCCAGGGGCGGCATCGGCGCTGCGGTTCCGCGCTTTGCGCGCTGAGCACCGGCAGACACCGACACCGCGCGCGTGGGGCGGTGGCGGCGCTTCCTCACCGGGAGGCAGCAGCGAGCGCGGCGGCACCAGCCCGCCGGCACCGCGGCATCGCATTGCCGTTACCGGCGGACGGCAGCGTGGAGCGCGGCGGCGCCTCCGCACACCCGCGGCGCCGTTTGGTTGCCGCGGCAGTAGCGCCTTGCCTGGCGTGTCTCCTCGCACAAAGGCCTTCCTGCTCCCTGAGTCTGAGGTCACGCTTTGGGGAACTCTCCACGCCCCAACCCTCCTTCTTGGTGAGGCAGGGAACAGCTGTACGTGACCGGGATGCCCCGCGGGGATGGGGCAGGGGCCCAGCAGAGAAGTCCAGAAGGACTTGGCTATCTGTGTGCTACCGGCAGCCCTGGAGAGTACTGCTGCAGGGCCAGTTCTCTCAGCTGGTCAGCGAGCTCACATCTGGGCAAACAACTGTGGAGCTGCCCGTGAGAGGAGGCTACAGGCACTCAGAAAGCCATCCAGTCCCTAAAGCTGCCCGGGAAGCTCTGCTAGCCTGGGGACTGGGCTGGGACTTAACCTTTCTCCCAGGCTAGGACCTGGAGGACACTACTGTGCTGGGGCTGCAGGGAGCCACCTTTGGGGGAGCTTGGGTTGCAGGTCAAGTTGAGCCAAAGGACCTGCCCTGCAGGGTGCAAAACCTGACTGGCTGCAGAAGGAGCTGATGGCCTGCTCCTGCCACTGTCCCCTCTGGGTGCAGGGCAGTGCAGGCTTTGGGGTGAGACTGACCCCATGCCACAGCCCAGGCAGGGCTGAGGAGGAGCTCCCAGCTTACCCGGGATGATCCACATCACCTTGTCCTCCTGCCAGGACAGCACAGCTTCCCTAGCACCCCTAAAGCCCACCTTCCCTTTCCCATGCCCAGCACACCCTGCCCCACTGGCAGGGTAAGGCCCCTCACAGAGCTCTCTTGAGAACAAGCCAACATGCTTATTTACCAAAACAGAGCTTTTTTGAAAAGCAGCAGCTGCACAAAGCCTGGCCCTGTCAATCCACAGCATGGCAGCTGTGATCAGAGGCAGAGCTCCCCAGAGATGGGGACATTTTCCTTTGCCACTGGCAAATCTTCTCCAGGAACAAGCGGAGAGTGTTGCCAGTCAGCACCGCTGCAGTATCCTGCATGCCATGGGCCCAGGCTGGGTGTCACTCCTGAGCTGGAGGGTGTTAAGGTGAGAGGTGGCACAGCCACCTGGGCCAGCATTCCCTGTGGGAGTCTAACACAAGGCCAGCGCCCTTGTAAGTCTGTACTCCTGGAGATGTCCCAGGACCATTGCCCCCCAGCCCAGAAAGCTCTCGGAGCTGCCAGGGCATTGCCTCCTCAAGGACAACCACCTTTGCCCTTTGTGGCCTGCCTCAGCCCCACAGGGCTTGGAAGCTGTGGTCCCCTCCATGCTGGTGGTCCCCTCCAGAGGGACTGCAGAGGTCAGGGGGTGAAGCTGCCATCCACAGTTCTGGCCCGTGCCTTGCAGCACCAGGGCCTGCACAGGAGACCCACAGGACCACCTGCCTGCTGCTCACCACCCGCAAATTGGGGGGGGGGGGGGGGCGCGGCCACA